TTATATGGTCTTCGCTGTGCGAAAACGATATTTTACGGTTGTTTAGAAAATAACATATTTGTCGATTTAAAAATCCAAATAAAACATTCCTAAATAGTTGTTGGACTAAAAAAATATTTGATTAACTGTAATATCTCATTTTTTTAACATCAAAGATATAAAGTAATAATTTGATGACACCGCAAAAAAGGCAAATAAAAAACCCGATAATTTGTTATACAAAATGACGTCTAACTTTAGTATTATAAGTATGGATTCCGTTATGCGTATACATGTGTTATTTAAATGGAGAATATATAAAAAATATTATATATATATGAAAACTTTTGTTTTTTGAATATAATGTTGATAGACGTATGTTTTGGATGGTATCAGAGATGTTCTGATGCTCAAGGCGGTGCAGGAAGCTGGTACCGATGGGTCAGCGGCCAAACGACGCAAAACTACTTTCATCGACGCTCACGACTTACATTATCGGTGCATCATTCCATTAGCCGCACCCGCAATCATAACCATAATCTATACAAATTTAGCTCTAATGTTATTAACAATGAATCAATAAAAATATAAATAATATATTAACTCATTGCAAAAATATATCCAATAATTTAAATGATATTTGCTTCGGTTAAAGTGGTTCATGAGTATTACAAATATCAACTTGTTACTTGTTAGACACTTGACATTATGTCATTATATCGTTTATCTATTAATTACTAACACTGTAATTATATTTATTTATTTATTATTAATAAACACTTTCATACGGAATTATTAATTTTTCTTAATTTCATATATACCTACCAATATCTTAACTACTAAAATTTTAGTAGAATATATCGTATTCGGTTTTCTAATAATATTTAATTATGTTTATGGTATAAGGATTAACGGGATATATCAAAAATTTTACTTTAAGCAAGAACTATTATTAATTAAACACTTAATCACATAGAAACCAAGCTTGTCTTCGCAGTATTATATTGAAGATTAGCTTTCACAGTTCGCATTATTTATAACTATTGATGAGCTTCGTCAGTCATTATGGTATTTAAATCTAAGCGCCATTAGTTGAGAAGCTAATTAAATAACAAGTTAGGAGACAGCGTCTGTCCATCCGTAATTAATAGCTGGCAATGTTAAGCTGAAGAAGAGATCGTCAGAAGGTCGTCAGCATTCAACTCGTAAGTAAAAGATTTAAAACTAAAGAAAAAAATTTAACTCAACAGTATGTTAGACGTAAATCAAATTGAAGATGCCCGATAAGTGGATAATAATTAGTGGAAGACGTGAAAGCGTTGGGAGAAAAATTCGTGAGAGTTCTGTGTAGTGTGATTGTACATCTGGCGGGACATCCGGTTGCGGTTGGCGCGAATATAATCTATAAAAAAAAAATAGGTATCATGATTTTTGACATCTACATAGTAACGCTATTAAATATGACTTTATTGTTCATGATTGTATTATAAAAAAAAAAATCAAAAAGGAAAGTTAAAAGGAAACACGTACGTATGTCATTAAAATGTTATAAAGAAAATTACTGAGTGGAAAATATATCATAGTAAATATGACAGTTATAGAAACGTGATGATAACATACAGAACATAATACACCACAGATAAAAAATAGAACAGTAATTCGTCGAGAAATACATATATTTTTTTTACCAGACAGCCAGTTTTCTATCTTGCGTTAGCGTTTACTCTATGATTACATGTATTAATTGCAGCATTTGCCATTTACTTGGAATGTAGTGTTATAAAGTGCGGTTAGATATGAATTATGATGCCAAAGAGCAAACAAGAGTTAATATTGCTTGTACGTCGCTCAAAGTCAGGAAGCAACGCAAGTATGTTTTAATTCCACAACTATTAATATAACATGCAGTCATAGATTAGTTTTAATTAATTTAGTGACCTATCGAAGGTTATAATCGAGTTACAATTTGTTAATATTCATTATTATAATAATATATTTAACAAATAATTATAATTAAATGATTATTAATTAAACTTGTATATTTTATATCCAGTTTATATTTCATAAATGTGTAAAACAAATATATATTTTTAATAAGACATAACGAGCCAATGTAAGTTGCCTCCGAACATATTTATGAACTAATTTCGTAGCAAAAACTCGTAACTATACAAATATCTCAAGCGTTTTCATTAGATAAGTAATTTATGATTTACTTATTATCATTTACAAAACACGGAGTAAAGATATTTAATTTGTGGTAATAAAAACCGTTCGCAATGAGTCGAATGCCGTATGTCAGAAACGTGTTTGCCTGTGATCGTTTTAAAATGTATAACGAAATAGTTTTTGCGTATAATAGATAAATGTATAATTGTGTATAATTAAATGCTGCTGTACCGAGAAGTATGGCAGGTACCGGTAGCGATTATGCAAGGAGCCGGACCCGGGACAATGTATATTATTTATATAGCTCGCTCTCCGTGACTTGATCAAGTTTATATTGATGTACGTATTGACCGATATTACATAAATATATAACATATTGTATATCAATTTAAATGTATGTTCTTATTTCAATTTAAATGTATACTTTGTATTACATTTTGTAAGGAGTACGGTCATTTTATTCGGCTATATTTATATATAGAGAGATGAGGTTTGATACTAACTAGTAATACATAACTATGTCTACTTATAATTCTGAATATGTATATATTATTGATATTAGGATAAGTAATATCAATTTACATTAGCAGGCTTTTTTCTTGATATTATTCGTATTTTTATCATTCTTAATTAAAATATACCAAAGTTATATATGCTTAACTGAAAAACACTTATGAGGTTCTTGCTTATGTTGTCTACGTAATACTTAAAGAGTAACTCTGTCTCGAATTTTACAAAACTATTAAAAAATTTGAATAACCGCCGTACATTAAGTTATGAACGTTGAGTTTCACTTCCATTGAAGTAGCTACTAGCTAGTCTAGACTTATACAAAAGATCGGATCTTTCGGTGCTTTCAATTGAGCAAACACTTTACTTGTTCTGCTTCAGAAATATTTTTTCAACAAACATTTTTTATATATCTCGCGAGTGCTTAGAGACATTTGATTTACACTCGACTAGAAACTGGGCGTGATTACGGAACTTGGCCCTCGGTGGTCTAGCTTATACATAATTGTTAACATTCGTGACATAATTTATCATACAACAATATATAATATAAAGCTTTATTATCATCATATTATAATATTCGCATAATTTATACTAAAATAGTATTAACATATAATCAATACGATTTTCGTTCTCGTGTTTTATAAATGGCATTTAAGTTTTTGTTTTTGTATTCATGTAATGCCAGAATAGCCACTAAATAATATTAATAATCAAAAGTATTACAGCTCAGTATTGCAAGGTCGTAAATAATTTCGCAAGGTTATATTTTATACGATATACTATATTGAGACTTTATTTATTTTTTAATTGATTCTTGCATACAATGTCAATACAAATAATACAACAAAAGTATTTGTACGCATGAATATTGAGACTTTTTTATTAGTAATTTTTTATATTAATTTGATATATAACATAAAAACGACGTATAAAATAAGAGCAAAAAGAAAATGTAAAGAAACCATTAAGAAGTGTTAGTATTAAATGTTCGTTTTAAAATTCTTTAAATCAAGATGGTATTTAACATAACGTAATAGCCATAAAATATCTGGTAAGCAGACATTAAGTACCAGTTCCTTGAGCGAAGTTTCTATGTATGAAGTATGAAGAGAAACATTATTTATGTATCAGAAAGTGAAAATGATAAATAAAAAGTGAGTTGAGTGCATCGTTTCTTCGTTTCTCTCATGATGGACATGACAACTAGATCTAACAGCTTATGTACACTTAGCCTTTGAGGTTCTGCCGCTTAGTCTGACTAAAATAAAGTCTACCGCATTCTATATAAAACAGGTTAATATTTTACAATATTTTCAAATTAATATAATAGGTGCTCAGTTATTGTTCGATACAGAGTGCTTTAAAATATTTAATAGTGCATTTCTTAAGGTCACGATTCATTATCACTTTCTAATAGTCCATTGTTATAATCTCTGTATCAGAATCGAGTTATTTCAGTCCGTGAAAAGTCGTTTATAGATATTATCTCCAGGTTACCGTTTCGATTAATAAAAAATATTTTTTCTAGTGTCAATAACATTCGCTCGACATATTTAAAATGTTGTATAGGGACGATGGTATATTATATTAGTTGTATTTAAACAATTGATTCAATTTATAATGTATAAACTCATTTTATGTAGGTTACGTGAATGTCGACCGTGGTCCGCGGAGCTGTTAATTGTTTTAATCACACCAATTTACTGCTTACAATAAAATGATAAATAAAAAGTTAGTCCCAAATGTAATTGAAATTGATATTTTGTTGGAAATCACTTTTATGGTCCATTACGTTGTATTGCTCTCGTAAGTCAGTAAATCATAAAATTTATTCAGACATTAAACGCTAGAAAGGACTCTCGAGGTGAAAGGCGGCGACGCTTTTTGATTTTGGTTAATTTCGCATGTTAAATAATTGACGTGTACCGCTCTGAAAATATCAGTCTCTCCAAAATTATATCAATATTAAAAAGAAAAAAATTTAACAGACTGTTAAAAATTCTGTTGAACCTACTTTGCTAGCTGTAGGAATGCAGATCTCGGGCAATTAGCGAGAAGTTAGTTCGCATTTGGACGTCAATAATAGCCGTTAAGATTAGCCGACATGCTGTAAATTTATTGAATGATTTATATGATGCAGATGGTGCAGCCGGTGGGATTCCGTGCATGGTGTTATTTACATAGCAAATGTGCAAGCGGATCTCGTGACTCGCAACTGTAATTATAGAACTGCCTTTTATCGTGCCGATAATGCAACGCTATAGCTGCGTAATGTACACACAATGGCTCGCTGGCTGTGGTTGAAACGGCTGGAGATTATTGGTGAGATCAGCCAAACATTAGCTTTGCTGATTGAAGACTGTGATGTTAAACATATGAATGACATATTCATCAATGCCAGGTCGTAGGATTGGTGGTTGCGGCGTCAATACATTATAGTGTAACATGGCCATGATCGAAAGCCGTAAGTCGTGAGGCTGCGCGTAGTTTGAGGCTATCGCGGTCGGTTTCTCTTCACACTTGTATCTCGGTATCTGGCCGCGGAGGCGTTTCGTGCACCTTTTTTGGAATAACTCGAGCAAATTTAGTTGGAAACTTTTATTTCGCTCCGCGCGAGTTGCACTCTTAAATCGGATTTTTATTTTAATGAGCCAGTTTCGCGACTCCGTCTCGCTCGCACCCGCCGCTGCACTGAATAAATAAATGACTTGTTCTACTTTCTATGAGATCGTTTCTTTGGGCCCGATGAGATTCGCCTGTGACGCAGCCCGGCTTTGTTCGAATGTCGTTCGCTATCTTGCTTCCTTGCCGAGTGCTCTTTAAGAACATTGTTATTCTACTAACTATATAACAATTCGCTTGTTTGCTATCAAGATATAGAGTAGTCACGATTTTACTGTAAGAATTTCCACCTCATCAAGGTTCTTGTGCACAGTTAATAGCTAATAAACATTTTGATCACTATGTAAGATATAATTTTAAGAACGAAAGCTTAGATTCATAAACCAATATCAATTCTATTTCTAACCGTTTTCGAATCAGACAACCAACTGATTTTGTAGAATTGTATTTGGAGTGTAATATAAATCATAATAATAAATTGGCCCCGCCGTAACTGTCTGGACGCTGTTCCTTGTGAAGACATGATTGATGATGATACGAAGAGAGAACTTGACCAACAGGTATCACTTTACATCTATTATCTACATATAACAGTTGAGTAAAACAAGAGAAGTTTGCTTTGAATTAAATGCTATCTGTTACCGGACGTGGAACCGAGTTATTATTATTAGTGCAATGCACTTGTATGCGTCACTAGAATGACACGATGGGCACGTTTTGTCTGGATCAGGTGGCCCCGCGGCTGCTAGTAGAAGGGGCATGCGGGGACGAGGAGGGGGGGCCGAGGGCCGGGGGCCGGGGGAGGTCTCAGGCTCGAGGGGGGCGCTGGGTCTCGAGGCCGCTTCCTGTCGCAGGACTGGTTTTGTGGTTTGCACCACTTCGCCGTGCACCAGTTTCCATCAAGTGCGCGAACAGCCTTCTTAATATTATTCAGATATTTGCTCAACACACGCATTTGTAACTTTATTCGGCATGAATTATTCGTCCTTAGCAATTTTTCAAATACATACATACGTCCCGGTGGAAAGCGGTGACCAATTACGGTATTTCTTGAAACCAATTAAAATATCTTCCTGCAACATATTTCCCTATGCTAATCGATGTATGCATCAACAGCAATGCTGCATCTACTATTTGTAGTCATCATCCGTGAACACACGACTCGATTATAACGAACAACTCTTAAAATAGTCTCCTTTGTTCAAATATATTTAGAATTAAGATACTAATACCATATTCGTGTAACAAATCTTTTGCAAATATAGTATTTAAGACTAAAAATCTATTAAAAAACATGAATGTATAAAATTATTATGACATTGTATGAAAAATCTTTAAAGTTTATATTGATTTCACGTATTTCTATACGTTTCAAGTACATATTTTTCATTAGAGATGCAACGCTTGTATCGTCACTACCACTTTCTAAGGGATACAATAACATTGAAAGTACTTAGTGAAATCAAGCTAATATTACGTGATCAAAGATAAAACCATCCATTGATTCGTCTCGACAACATTCAATTTGAGACCTCCATAACTTTAATGTGTTTATTTGCGGAAGATTCCTATTAAATTGTTAGTTTAACGAATTTCATGTTTCCGTGTTCCATCAATTGTTTTATTGGATATGCCTTTTTTTATAAAAACAACTCATGACGCGAACCCAAACCGATACGCTTGAATAATGTTATTGTAAAAAAAAAATCTTTAAAAATTTTAAGATGTTTAACATAAATATGTCTATTTCTTTAACTGGTAGATAAAGAATTTTGTGAAAGTTAACGACAATAAACTACCGAGTTTATAATACAAAAACAAATCTATTAGAATGAATTTTAACATAATATGTTAAGTCATCTCTAAAATGACTTATGTATTTTATTTTTGACAAGAGAGAACATCGTTTTTTATTAAATCTTTCAAGTTTAGCTTGTTTACGAGTATAATATTTATATTTAAAATAAGTATAAATATCAAAATATTATGACGCGTACATATCGAGTGAGTTGAGATGACAAAATTATTAATTTCAGATACAAGCAAGACAACGTCGTTAAGAACACAAGCTATTGCCTCGCTTCGGACTTGGCTTATAATACAGCCACGGGCAAAAGTATTAGGCACCCTACAGTAAGACAAGTTTTAGGGTGTTTTAGCATAGCGAGTGTAAATAAAACTGCATTTATGATTACAATGGTTTATTTTAAGATAATAATTAATATTTTGTAGGTCCACCTTTTGACTTAATAACCGCAGCCACTCTTTTTGGCATTGACTCTACCAGCCTGAAACATTCTTCTCTTGATATATTTTTCCATTCCTGCTGTAACGCGGCCAATAGAGCTTGTTTATTGCTAATCGAGTGCCTGCGGATATTTTTCTTTGAAATGGACCAAATATGCTCAATCGGGTTGAGGTCTGGTGATTGTGGTGGCCAGTCCAAAAGATCAATATGATTTTCAGCAAACCACTTCATGGTATGCGCGGACTTGTGGCAAGTGGCGTTGTCTTGCTGAAATATCAGGCCATCGGTGTTTGTATCACCGAAAATTTGCGTTATCGACGTTGCTAGTGCTGTTTCCAGAACTTCAGTGTATTTAACACTATTCATTCGTCCCTCACACAATACCATTTCGCCCATTCCGTCGGCAGCCATGCAGCCCCAGATCATTATTGAGCCTCCACCATGCTTAACAGTGGGAACCACACATTCTGGGTTGTATTCTTCGCCAACCCTTCGCCTAACATAAGTCACACCGGGTGTTCCAAACACCTATGCCAAAGGAAAAAAACACATTTATTTTCAAAGTTATTATTTTTCTTGCAGTACGTTATTTTAAAAACATTTAAGTGTTTTAATATTGTACATAAAATAAATAACAATACCTCAAAGTTAGATTCGTCTGACCACAGTATGTTGGACCAATCTTCCACTGACCAATCTCTATGTTTGAGTGCCCACTCCAACCGATTTTTCTTATTGTGTTCTGACAGCCACGGCTTCTTCCTTGCTTTACATCCTTTTAATCCAGCTTTAAGAAGTCTTCTTCTCACAGTATAAACACTCACTGAGCTGCCTTTTGCCTCAGATAATGCTGCAGCGAGCTCTGAAGCAGTTTTTTTCCTGTTTTGTAGAGACTGCCTAATCAACAATCGATCTTCCCGTTCAGTAGTAACTTTTCTTCTGCCTGTTCTTGGTCTATTTTCATGGGTGCCAGTCTCTTTGAAGCGATTTATAGCATATTGAACTGCACATCGCGAGCACTTCACTTCTCGGGCTATTTTAACCTGAGACATGCCTTGTTCATGTAAAATCTTAATTCTTAGACGCTGTTCAGCACTAAGTTCAGATTTTTTCGGCATGATTAACACGTTAAATGTTAGTCTTTAGAATTGTGATAGGAATAGTTGCGTAGAAGACGTGTATGTTCACTACAAGCACTGATAACACACTATAACCCGAAACGCAAAAAAAGCAAATTCGAAGAAACACCGCTTAGGAGCACACCTGGATGTCATAAATATTTTCTTTTATCTTAATTTGGTTAAAAATTGCCGCTAATACAATAGCTAAACCATAAAACACACACTTGACCGCAATATAATGAGATAGTGACTAACAATAGGGGTGCCTAATACATACTTTTGCACGCAGCTGTATATGAAATTAATACCACAAACTGGTTCACAGTATTAAAAACAGTTTATAATTAAAACTCGTATGTGTTATATATATATTAATAATAATATCGAAGTTTGCGAATATTATAATGGCTCAGGTACACCAGGTCCGGCCATGAAGTTAATCATGAACATTTGGAAGCCAAGGGCGTTCGGTGGTTAGCCAGATATCAACTTTGTCTAACTTTGAAAGGCTGAAACAAAGACAATAGCTCATTATTTGACAAAATACCCATTTCCATATAATAATCAAAAATATTTATCATCAATTTCATATATATTTGACTCCATTTTAATGGTAATTTTATTTAATTTTCACAGAAACGTATAATAAAAAAACAATTCTTCATAAGATCTTTATGTTCGAATTAAGAAACTGGTTCAAGACACTTCCGTGTCACATTGCATACACCCACCGACTTTAAGGTCTGAACAATCAAGTTTTAAACCTAATTGTGACGTATTATAAAAACCAGGGCTGGCACTGCAGAGTTTAAAATAAATTAAACAAAAAAAATTATCATTTAAAATCAAATATCCATATATAAAATATTTTTTTAAATTAAAATAATCATCGATATATAATTTAGTAATTAAACCGAGTGAACTTAAATTATAATAGTTGACAGCCCTGTTCGTAAATCTAGATTAATGCTTTCCACTTAATATAGATGCTTTGGTCGTTTTAGTGCATTTTTAATGTTATTATGAAATATTATCATTGTGCAAAAACCAGCAGTGTCCCAAATTAGTCGTGAGTTTTTATGTATTACCGGCGCCGGCATTCCGTATTACTGACCAAGAAGTATATTATAAGAATTTTATTATTAAATACATTTGTCAGAATAATACGTATAATCTATGATATTCAAAGAATATAATTCAGTTAATTGATTAATTAATTAATTAATATTTATTAATAAACCACATAAATTACGAATATTATACATCCGACGGTCCCTTGAAGTCCGTTAACCGTATTACACCCGGTTAAAACTTCTCGGAAATTACAGAAATTTTTAAATGGAAATGTACATTAATTATAGCTTTTAACGAGAAAGTTATATATGAAAAAAGAATAGAAAAATAATAATAAGTATTCGGTTCTATACTATATGTAGGAAATTATTAATTATTAGATAAATGTTTATGTTAATAAGGAAGTAATAAGTCTTAGAGTAATTTCAGGTAACATTAAACAGATTAATCAAAAGTTCAATAAATAGTAAGATTCCTTTGTAAATAATTGTTTATTAAGTTTTCAATTAATTTTGATACGTTTCTAGTAAAGAGGAATTTCACTTTCCTGTAAGTACTTGGAAAGTACTGATAGTTATGAAGTTTATAGCTTTTTATTTGGTTGTATAGTAATAAATATGTTCTGAGGAAGAATTAAGGTTAAATAATTAAGTAGGAGAATACATAATATATAAGTATTAATTATTAATATAATTCTTTCTTGAAGATGATTCTGAAATAGTTATAAAATTTCGTTATTTGTATATAAATTATGTTGTAATTAAAATGTATAATATTATATTTTATGTATATATAAATGTATAATGACAATAGATATTGCTATATGAAAATACCTCAAGTCATGAAACAGACATAATTCGATCTCGTTGATGTCTTTTGTATAGAAGCAAAGCGCTTGGCATTTGCGTTAGTAGAACCTTGTGTTATAATGTTCTGTTTCTCGGTACTGTTCATTAAAACGACTACGCGGTCTTAATAAAACTGATATTTGAATATTAAATCATCCGGTTGTTATTTTATTTTTGTTTGAAACTTAACGGCTCTACATTGAATCAAGTTTACAAGAGTTCTATAAAATTAAAAATTAAATCATTATTTAGCATTAATTAGTGTAAAAACATAAAAACCTAACCGAAAAATGATGAATAGATATATTTTTTTCTTCTAAATCGGAAACTTTGATAATAATACAGTGCCTGTAAAGTAGAACAAGGAACTCGTGGAGCAACTGGTACGTTGAACCGAGTCTGTATGTGTGCGTGCACACACACACACAGACTGTACGAGCGTAATACTACAGTGACTCACGCACACTGATGTATTGAGATCACGTCTGTGTGAGTGCACGCACACTAGCACGATACACTCTGTACGTGAACTTATGTATGTGTGTGTCTATCACTACATATTAATCCGATACATATACAAACCAAAATATTTAGGTTTTAGT